GGGCGGGGTCTGAGCTGGGCCCTGCCTTAGGGCCGTGGGGCGAGCCTAGCCGGTAGAGCCGGCCAGCCGCGTCTCAAGCCCTAACAGCCGTGCGCGCTCCCCCTCCTGACCCCGTGCTCTGTCCCCACCAGAGGCAGGAACGCTTCGCTGAAAGGCCAGCCCTTCTGGAGCTGGAGAGATTCGTGAGTAGGGGCAGGGAGGATGGGGCCATGGTGGCCCAGCCTTGTCCCAGGTCTGGATCAGGAGGGCCCTCTTGGTCCCCGCTGATGTTCTGACCTGGCCCCTGACCTTCCCCATCCTTCTCAGCCCCGCCTGGTTCTGAATTTCCATTCGTTCATTCCAGGAGCGCCGGGCCCTGGAGCGCAAGGCCGCGGAGTTGGAAGAGGAGCTGAAGGTAGGGCCCGGGCTCAGCGGGCTCGGCAGGGCTCCTTGGGGCGGCCCAGGGTCGCTGTGCTGACCTGCTGGTCCCCCAGGCCCTGTCCGACCTCCGGGCTGACAACCAGCGGCTCAAGGACGAGAACGCCGCACTGATCCGCGTCATCAGCAAGCTGTCCAAGTGACGCGGCCGGACTTCCCACACCGTATTTATACAGCTGCTTCTGCCACACGCACCTTCCCCGCGAGCACACGAGTGACAGGGCTCGGGGAAGTCTGAGAAGCCATAGCCTCCCCTCAGGACCACTGGCCTGGGCGGGGAGCACAGAGCCCCCAGGAGCCAAGGGGGGGCCGTCTGGGGCCAGGATGGAGGCGGGAGGCCGAGCCAGGTAGGGGGATGTCGCTGAGGGGACCAGGGTGGAGGGACCAGGGCAGAGGGGACCAGGAAGGACCTGAGGACCAAGAAGCGCAAGGACCAGTGTCCGGACCAGAGTGGCTGCCCTGTCCCCATCACGTGTGATGCCTCCGTCACCTCCCCCAGCAGGGATCCAAGGATGTGCCAAGAGTCCGGCCAGCCGGGTGGGCCTGTGAATGGGGTCCGTGTGCAATAGGGGCCGTCGTCTATTTTTGCTGCCCCCTCCCGTCCACTGTCCGGGGCAGGGGGAGAAGGTATTTTCGAGACAAAGCACCGGCACCACAAATAAACGTCGTGAAGTTGCCACCAAGCACCCAGGCGTCCCAGCTGCAGTGGGCGCTGTCCTGTCAGCTGTGCCCGACAGGACCACAGCCCTGGGCCACTCGGGTGGGTGCTGGGAGTGCGTGGGCGCCGGCTCAGCGGGCGGGGGAGGGCCCCAGCCAGGGCTGCCCTGGGGACGGCAGTGAAGGCCGCGGGCAGGGAGGGGCTGGGCGGTCGGTCCAGCGCTGCCTGGGTCATTCTCCTGTGAGAACTGCGGTTTTGGCTTCTCTGTAGGAGGCGCGGGCAGTGCAGCCTCAGTCCCAGTGGAGGCGTTTAGTGAGCTGAGTAGGAGCCAGCCCGGACTGCGTGCGCTCCTCCGCCCCCGTGCGGCTGGCTTTGCAGCCTGTGGGCACACGCAAAGGCCTGACTGGCGGGCCGCCCCCAGTGGACGCAGGTGGACCTCGGGTGCTAGTCCCGCAGGGAGGGTGCCACAGGGAGGCGTGTGCACAGCGTGGTCTGGGTAGGCCTTGCTGGAGGGCTGGCATGGGCAGGTCCCCGAAGGTGACGGCGCACTGGGTGGGCTTCCAGGGACGCGTTCTCTGGGCGTTGACGGGCGTGTGAGGACTGAGGTAGAAGAGCACCTGCCAGGCTGAGGCAGGGCTGTGCCGGCACTCCGCCCTGGGAGGACGTGAGCTGTGGGACAGGGCTCTTTTTTTTCTTTTTTCTTTTTGAGAGGTTTTTGCTATAGTGCGTGTGTGCTCGCCAGAAAGATGGAGAGAGACAGGAAGCAATTAATCACCACCACACCACCCAGGGATGGCCACGCCGCAATCCCTTCTCCTCCATTCTCCTCTCGGGATCTTGGGCACGCACGCACACGCGCCCGGCGTGAGTTTAAGCCACTGGGTCTGGGACTTGCACCACGGTCGACTACATGGGAGTCCAGTGACATAGCCATTGCGCCAACTACTGATCCCAGCTGTGGGGCAGGTTCTGAGGGGTGTCCACAGGCGGATCGAGGTTCTAACAGGTCCCTCCGGTGGCTGTGGGGCTCAGTGCAGTTAACTAAGGGGTGACTGGCAAAATCTCAGAGGAGTGTGGCAGGGGCTGGGCGATGGCTGAGGAGGTGAAGGTGGACAGTTCTGGGGCTGCGGAAGGCAGAGCTGGAGGTCTGCGCCAACGAGCCGCTGTGACAGGAGCAGCCCACAGCCAGCTTGCTTGTCTAGGTCCTGGTGCGCTTTCAGTGTGCGCCTGGGTCAGTGTGGAGGGAGCCGCGTGTGTGTCCGCTGTCTCTGTCAGAAAGGTGCGGGGCCCCAGGCAGGGTGACAAGTGGCCAGACACCCCCTAGGGGCGAGGTGTCCCATGTAGGAAGGTCATCGTGAGCTAAGGCCTGCCTCAGAGAGGGATCTGGAGCTGGGCCTTTGGCTCTCAGCTGCCGCGGCTGCATGGAGCTTGGGTGTTACCCAGTGGGCCACGGGGAGCTACGTGAGGTGTGTGGGAGAGCCGGCCGGCTAAGCTGGAGTCCAGGAGAGCCAAAGTGGCCACCTGGAGACTGCCCTTGGGACTCTGCAGGGCACCATCTGGTGGCACAGGTAGAAACTACTCCAAGGTAAGGGCAGCTGGAGGCTGGGAGGCCAGCAGGTTTGGCGGGCCACCTGACAGTGGGTGTTCTGGGGAAGGAGACACTGAGGGAGAGAGGCCCACTTTCCTGAGGTCAGAAGCGTGTCCAGTCTGCACCAGGTGGGACCCAGAGCAAAGCAGCCCTCACTGGCCACCTGGAGAGTGGAGAGGGAGCGCAGGGCTCGCCAGGGGGATGGGGCCAGCTGTCCTCAAGGGACTGGGCAGGCTGTCAGAGTGGCCTGGAAGCTGTGGCGTGCTGTGGGGGCAGTTCTCTGTGGCTGAGCCTCTGCATGAAGTGTGGACAAAGTAAAGTGGGGACTGGGGGTGAGCACACGCCCCTCCCGAGTGGTGAGCTGGGCAGTACAGAGCAGCCGTCGGGCCAGCAGAGGCAGGCGAGACAGCAGCGGTTGAACTGGTTTGGGCGAGTGTGAAGGGCGGGACCAGAAAGCACAGGGCAGTGAGGAGGGAGATGGGGTGGAGAGGCAGGTTGAGAGTCACTCAAGACTTCAAGTACCACCTATGGGGCTGGGAGGCAGTGGGATGCCAGGGAAGGAGTTTGGGTAAGGGGCTGGTGCTCAGAAGATGAGAGCTGGACAGACCGGAGGCTGGGAGGTCAGGAGGAAGCCTGTGATGGGGCCTGGGGACAGGAGGGTTTAGAGAGAATCTATGGTGGGGCATGTCTCTGGTTCTTGTCTTCCCACGAGACAGACTAGGGCCAGGGGCAGGGTCTTGGCTCCCTGGCGGGGGCGATGACAAGAAACCAGAGAGGACACTGCTAAAAGGAGGCCATTTATAGACTGGGCAACATACCGCAATGCATGGAGCTCCCGGGTGGCCCTGTGCGGGGGTGGGCTGCAGGTGCTTTGGAAAACTGTCTTGTCGCACCCTTCCCCCTCCCTGCATGTCAACCAGGAGGGACTGTAGCGAGGATTGTTCAGTCTGCCCACACAGGCAGACAGGGACAGAACAGGTGGGTGATCCCTGAAGGGATCGGATCTACTTCCGCTGTGGGGAGTCTGTGTCCGCTCT